ATCACTTCGCAGCGGAAGGGCTGAGCGTTGGAGACGTAGTCGTCATGCGCTGCATTCCAGAGCACACCGGCGTCCCAACAAAAACCCAGAAGTTCAGAGGCCCACTGACTGTGACGGAAGTACTCCCAGCGGACACCTACAGAGTGACCGAAATGAATGGGAAGAAGAGGGTCTACTCAACAACCGCCCACATTAGCCAACTGAAGAGATGGGGTGGAAGATGCCAAGAACCGTCCGACCAATCAAGCACCGACGAAGAAGACAGTGTGCCGAGACGCAGCGTGCGTGTGCCCAAAAGACCTTCGTACCTTGGGGACTACGCCGCATGAACTGAGGACAGTTCGCTGCCAGGAGTGGCCGAGTGTTAGCGAAATCCGAAAACGAAGGGAGCAACATTGGGCAGACGGCCAGCGATGCGGGCAAGATGGCGGCATGCAAGTGTGCGTTCGCCGCACGTGTAACCTTTAATTTTATTTTCCTGTATTAAAGTCTTTTATTTTCCTAAAAGTTCGTTTAATGTGAGGAAAGACAACACTACTTAAACGTCAAGGTCAACAAATACTCCGTCGGAGTCAGTTTCAGAGCTAAATGCAATCGCTTCTTGCGCGTGGAAGTAGAAAGCCGAGAAAAAAGCGAAGCATTGCATTTGTCTCTGAAAGTGAATCTGACCGAGTAGTTGTTGACCTTGAAGTTGAAGAAGTGGAACCGTACGTCTCCCTGGTCTAGGGCTAAAGAGTTGCTGAAAGTTGTGTTGCTAACTTGTCTGTCTCATAAGCTAATAGCATAAGGTAATTTCCTGACCAGAATGTCACAAAGCATGACCGAAAAACTTGATGTATGTACTCTCAGAGTGTTTGCACATCCGATATTAAAGTAGGATGCGTCACACAGGCTTCTCAGCCCCTTGACATCATTTTTCTGGTTTCGGCACCAAATATTGAGAAACCGAGGAAAAAAAGGCAGAAAGTCAGGCAAATCGTTCTCCGCTCTTCATAGTGATAGTGCCACCATTGTCACATTAGGTGAGTGCTTTTTTTGCCATTCTAAAAAAAAAAAAAAAAAAACAACTGCCAGATTGTATTTGCGGCAAACAGCTGGCTGAAAAAAAAAGGCTGTTTTTCCAACTCGATACGAACGGGTCGGAAATTATACCAGGAGAAAAGAGTCTCGCACCTTCGAAAATCAGCAAGGTATTTGGGATGGTGTGGGACAAGAGCGATGTCTGCATTATGCAATTTCTGTAAATCTGGACACCAAGCGATTCATCCTCAAAGCAGCGTCGAGAGTATTTGATCCTATTGGACTGATTGCACCATTCGTCGTAACAGCCAAGCTGCTCTTCCAGGAGGTGTGAATACTTGGTATCAGCTGTGATAAAGTACTACCCTCTGACTTAATTAACGAATGGCCTTGCTGGACGACGGATGTTGTGCAGCTGATCTCGTTGAAGGTACCACAACATGTGAAGCAAGGTGTTCTGAGACGAACCAGCAAAATCCATTTCCACATTTTCGCAGATGCAAGTATAAAAGCATGTGGATCGTATGTAGACCTAAAAACTGAGAATGAGCAAGGCAATATAACAAGTGGGTTGGTTGTCGTAACAACCAGGGTCGCACCGATGAGAACGTTAATACTGCCTGGGCTAGAGCTCATGAGAGCGAATATGGGATCGAAGTTTTGACAATACATAAAAGACTCCTCTCATGGCATGGACTTTGACTACATCATGTGGACTGATGTGACTGTGGACCTCAGTTGGGTGAAAAGAGGCCCAGAAAAATGGAAGTCATTTGTCAAAAACAGGGCAACTGAAACACCAGTGGTGTCGTAACCGGACAATTTGAGGCAGTGGCCCGTCAAGACAATCCGGCTGACCTCCTGACAAGAGTATTGACAGTCCAGGAGCTTCAAGACAGTCTTCTCCGGGGGAAAGGACCCTGCTGGCTAAGTCAAGAGCCTCCAGAATGGCCCGTGAATTCTACGCTGTTGGAAGACACACGACTAGAAATCAGATTAGAGAAACATGTATTGTTGGAGAACCATCGCGAAATGCGGACATTGCTTGACGCTGGAATTTACGGAGCTTACCGAAAGTCTCTCGAGATAACTGCCTGGGTTATTAGGTTTGCTAACAACGTTAAGAAAAACAATGACGAGTTCCGAGGAGGGCTTGTCGTAGCAGATTTGGACCCCGCAGGACAATATTGGGTTAAGCAAGTACAAAAAGATGAGTTTCCGACTGGCAGCATGTTACGCGCGCAGAGCACGATAAACTTTAGTTCAAAGCTAGCAGAGTTCCACACCTTTTTGACGACAACGGAATTCTAATGGTTGGAGGACGGCTCAAATGTCTACTGAAAATCTGGATGTGAAGTATCCAATCTTTTTACTGAACGTCCATAACTTTGTGAAGAAGATTGCGATGGGCGCTCATTCTGAAGTCATGCACGGTGGAGTAGCTAGCACAATGAGACACCTACGAGAGCGGTATTAGATTATACGTGGTCAACTGAAAAAGGAACGTATTGAAAAGTTGTGTGATTTGTTCACGTTTCAATGCGAAACCAACAGAAGTGGAACAAGCTCCACTACCCCAGACAGGATTAGGAGGCTACGCCGTTTGGGGTAGCTGGAGTCGACTTCCCTGGGATTTTGTGTGCAAAGAAAGAGTCATACGCTGTACTCTTCACGTGCGCTTCCACCCGAGCGGTCCACCTCGAGCTTGCAATGTGCCTCTTTGCGGAAGCCCCCTTACTTGCATTTTGACGTTTCACATTAAGAAGTGCCATGCCACTAGTCATATGTTCAGACAACGCATTGTCATTCAAAAATGCATTGAAAGATCATCAGAAAATTTGGGATGCACTAAACCAGGGGTGACCAAGCTGCGGCTCGCGAGCCGCATGCGGCTCTTCGCGTGTTAAAGTGCGGTTCGCGGCTACCTCCCCTAACCCCCCCCCCCCCTGCCCCATTCCACCCCCTCCCTATATAGATTGAAAGTATATATAGTTAGATTGCAATAGACAAAAGCCTGCGGCTCCTGGAAGTTTCGTGGTTTTGTTTGCGGCTCTTAGGCCGGGTCAGCCTGGCCACCCCTGCACTAAACCAAGAAGCGTTCAAGTCGCACATGAATGCGCGGGATCTTTTTTGTTTATTTATTCAGAGATTATCCCGCAGTGCCCGAGGGCATTACAACGGGGAGGGGGGGGGGGGAAAGGGAAGGGGGAAAGGAAAGGGAAGTTGGTTACAATGTTGAAAAAAAAACACATATCTTCATTTTTCACTGCACACTTGCAGCTCCCACAGCCCATTCCACTCTCGTATCGTTTTAACAAAAAATAAAAAAAAAAGAGTTGGCGCACATGCTTGTCCTGACGCGGAACTCTCTAATTTTGAAAGCATGATCGTTCCGTTTTGAAATATAATATAATCCTTTTAAGTAAGTTTCACTGTTAATTCCAATTTTATTTTAAATATCAAAAACAGAAACCTTAAACACAATTTGTTTTACGGCGGGCTGATAGAGGTTCCATATTCAGTTCAGTCTTCATTTGAGTACAGCTGTCTCTCCGCCCGTACAGTCCCAGAACAAACCAAGCAGCTCTATTTTGTATTTTTTCAAGCTTGTCTAATAATCTTTGTGGTTCCGGGTCCCAGATGGCACAGGCATATTCCAAAATTGGCCTAACATATGTTAAATACGCGGTTTCTTTTAAGTTAGGAAGTGAACATTTTAGGCTTCGTTGAATAAAGTTCAGTGCCCTGCCAGCCTTTACAATCACGTCATCCACATGTGAATTCCACGAACAGTCAGTTGATATCGTAACACCTAAGTATTTATACTTAGAGTCCTTGTTTACTAAATTGTTATTTATAAAATACTGGGTTTCAATTTTCTTCTTCTCATTAGTAAAACATAAATGCACACATTTTTGGGGGGATTTAAAGTCATTTTCCATGTAGAGCACCATGTAGTAATGCATTCTAAATTTATTTGCAACCGGGTGGCATCATCTTTGTTACTAATTTTTCTCTACACCACGCAATCATCGGCACACATCCGAACACAAGATGAAGTACCCAAGGAAATATCATTGATATATATTAAGAACAAAAGCTTCCCTAAGACAGAGCCCTGTGGGACTCCCGATGTAACATTAATGTATGCCGAATTTTTACCATTGACTGGAAGTTTATTGTAGGAGCCGCTCCATGGTGGGGTGGATGTTGGGAGAGGCTCATTTTTCAAAACAGCACTTAAGAAAATATTGACGTAACAGCCTTTCCTCCAGAGTACTAATGGCAACTCTTCACGAGGTGGAAGCAACCATCAATTCACGGCCGTTGACATATCTTTATGTCAAGAGTTGGGGAACTATCAGCCATCACCCGGCCCATTTTTGGTAGCTAAAAAGCTGTCCTGCAAAATGAAGGCTTGTCAAATTATTTTCCTGGATCTGCAAAGCACCAGAAGACGATCCGCCGCAAGTTGGAATATCAAAAAAAGACTTGTGGAACATTTCTGGGAACGCTGGAGGTCCGAATACCTGTTGCGGTTAAGATCTGCTTTTCAGTACCACGTTACAAATGCTCAAAACCAGAAGGTGGATGATATGGTAATTGTAGAAACTGTACGAATTTCGAAGCCATTTTAAGAACTAGCAAGAATTGTGGAAGCTTATCCCGGTGCCGATAGAATTGTACGCGCCAGTCTCGTCAAGCAGCGAAATGGCGCACTTGTCAAGAGACCAGCGCAGAAACTCTACTTTCTGGAAACCTCTTCTCGGGAAGAGGTTTCAACTAGAAGGTGAAAAAAACAAATGGGATGAAGTGCGGGAATGTTTTTGTTTTTGTGACCAGGATAGATTTGACATTAAATAAGGTCACACCGACCGATTTGTCTGGCTTTCTGCATTTTATTCCTCGGTTTTTCAATAATTGTCTAATCTCAATCGGAAGGATAGCAACAACAACAACAAAAAAGCCTTTGATTTCAGGTTGAGCGAGCTGTTCTTGGAAAGGACGATGAATCCCCTCGCAGCTTTCGAAAGTATCTATAGGCTGACAGCAAAAGGAAAAGAGTATAATCACTGCCTCGATACATTGCACGCGTTCACGAGACAGGTGAGTGACAGCTTATTTAGGCTTTCAATAATGAAGATAAATAAATAATTATATGTAGACTACATTATTAAAGCGAGAGTGTAGTTGGCGTGAGCGATTCCCGCTTTGAATGAAAATTAGGCTTTCTCTCTGCCTGCTGGCGATGAACTGTTATGCAGTGTTGTGCGGAACGGTGTTCATGGAACGCGTTCCTTCTAGGAGGAGCGAATGAACCAGTGGCGTCACTAGGGTCAGCGGCACCCGGGGCGGTGGCCCGCGGCGACACCCCCCCCCCCCCCCTCCCTACTTGTCGCCCACCTCCATTCCCCCCCCCCCCCCGGGTCGTCGCCCGCCGTAACTCCCCCCCCCTCCCCCCTCCGTCGCGACACCCCCCGGAGTGCTGCACCCGGGGCGTTCCACCCTCCCCCCCCTCGCACCCCCCTTGTGACGCCACTGGGAGGAACGCCACCGTTCCATTTCGCATCGGTGCAACAGTAACTGGAACTCGTTACATTTTTACCGGAACGAAGACAAGAGCGGCGTTCCTTTTTTTTTTCGTCCAGTTGGGTAATTATCTTTTTTTTCTAAGAGGGAAATTTTAAAAGAATTTTGTGTGGCCCTCGCTTGGTAACAGTCAGGTGCAGAACATTGGTTCTTTTTTCAGCGCCCGAAGCTGCGGTAAAAAAAACAAAAGCAATATTGCGAAAAGAAAAATCTACCAGCCCTACTATAAATATTAAGTTGCATCGTAATCTCGCATTGTCATTATAGGTAATTGCAGAAAGGAAGAATGACATGAAGGCAACCATCGACATCGGCTCCCTTCTCAGAACAGAAGATGACAGTAGTTCTAACTTCACAAAGCAGAAGAGACCTTTCCTCGATCTACTACTTCTTGAACACTTCAAGGACGGTAAAAACATCACGGAGGAAGACATACGCGAAGAGGTGGACACATTTATGTTTGAGGTAAGTTGTCGTGACACGTTGTTTTGTCATCACTGAATCATGTGTGGAGTGGGTTTCAATAAACGTAGATTTTAAGTGATCATTACCGTAATATCTCGAATTACCACCTGCCCACCACAAATAGATAAAAGGGAAATAATATGAGGTGGGCGATGTTTCGGTGCTGGGCGTTTGGACGGGAGTGTACTACGGCATTTCATTGAATTTTGAAATAACAATTCAAGGTCACTCGAGAGCGTCTCTGGACTTTCATAAATAATCAGCTCGAGTAAAGACGCTTAAAGTGCTCAATTTGGCTGAGTTTCGTGCTCGAGGAGCGTCTAGCCTTGTGTCCAGCAAACGGTGCAAATATGCAGCACAGTGCGCGGCTTGGTACCAACCTCAGATACAAATCGCAGTTCGATTTGCCGTGTTCATTGACGCGTGTTGCTCAGTTTCACCGTAATTCATGAATCCGGTTGTGTGAGAATTCCATCCTTGTCAACAAGTTTTAAATTGAGATGGGATGAGGAAGGTACCTAAATAAAACACTGGCGACCAAAAAAAAAAGGTGAATTTAGTCATATACATAAAAAACCACAAGTAAGATGTGTTCACATTTTGGTAGTTCTCAAGTCGCTTGGGATTTTTTTTTTTTTTTTTGTGATTGAGGGTTTATCATTTCAGCCATTTCTTACTTTCATTTAGAAATATGTTTTCTTCTTCCTTCCGGTTCAAATCTGTGTCAGCGCTGTGGCGCCGAGCATGACGTTTAACCATATTCACTGCCATAGCGCAGATCTTCTTGGTCTAAACATGTCAACTTCTTAATTCTCCGAGACTCCTCCATGTATTGCAGCGATTGGCCCTTCCTAGTTCTTTGCGAGGAAAAAATGCACACTCTCGATTTCTTGGAGTGTAATCCAATGAACAAGCCGTGACAGCTCAAGGAACGCTGCACATACTTCTGTCGCTCCATAGCCAATGACATTGCCGTATTATACAATAACCACGCCGAAGAACGAAGAATGAACCCGGGAAAAAAGGGGAAAATGTTTTTTTAAAAGTTGAATTAGACCGTTTTAAAACTGTTAGAATTCTAGTATTGTGTAGACATTTCCTTTGTGACGAATCAAAGCACGCTCGTCTCTCAGATTCCAATGGAGGAAGGCATCACCCCGTTAAATACGATTGCAGCCAGTTTGATTTTCTTCACAATTTGCCTTCAGGGTCACGACACAACCGCCGTCGGCATAAGCTGGGCGTTATTCCTGATAGGCCTCAGTCCCGTGGAACAGCAAAAAATACATGACGAACTGGATTTCATCTTCGGGGACGACACAGAGCGGCACGTCACAATTGAAGACATGAAAGAGATGCGCTATCTGGAATGCGTGATAAAGGTGACTTATCTTTCAGTTCGACCAAACTATTTCTGCAGTAATAGGTGTCTAAAAGGCACCAAGTGTAGATACATTATTTTATTTTTATTTATTTTAGGAATCTCAACGACTTTATCCTTCTGTGCCATTCTACTCGAGACTTTGTGAGGAACCTTTCGAACTCGGTGAGTTTAATATATAATGACATTAACGTGTACGGCATTTCGTTCATGACGGAGATATATCTGCACAATATTTGGCCTGTTGTAGGTACTATAGGTTCAAAAGGTTTTGCAGTTAAGTCTTCAAAGTTTTCCGTAGGGTCTCTAGAATCTGTTCACCCTTAAGTTGAGACTAGAGCCAATGACACAAGCACGACAGCACGATGTCGTTGCTATGAAAAGTTCTTCCACGAAGCAAGTGATCGAGCTAGAAATGTACGTCTCAAAGCTAGGAGCACGGGTTAGCTCGCGCTTGCAGTTTTGGCTGCTGTCTCAGCATAAGGGTGAACGGAGTATAGTAATGAAATTATAAACCCTTGTTACCTGATTAAAAAAAAATAAAAAACGAGGACTACTCAATAGAGAGTTAGAAGGACGGCGGTGATGCAATAATATACTAATATCGCAGGCGTTTGATCACCTTAGAAAGAATTCTGTAAACGTAGAAAAATGTTTGAACAGCAGCAGAGGCTTTATTACACGACGTTTCGGGAAGAGACTTCCCTTCTTCAAATGTGCACACTTGAAGAAGGGAAGTCTCTTCCCGAAACGTCGTGTAATAAAGCCTCTACTGCTGTTCAAACATTTTTCTACGTTTACGACTTTCTTGCTGAAGACTTGTTCATTAATACATTTAAAGAATTCTGTAGTAGTTCTTCCAAATGATGCAAACTCTGCGTTTACAACTTTTCTCAGTATTATGTTTCAGCTAGTCAGTCCAACAACAAGTATTGTTAAAATGACAGTGTCTTAACAAAAACTGCTATCATCGTTTAATGTTTTTCTTAAGGTAATTGGTGCATCAAGACTATGAGGCCAGCTCTGGAAATACAGCTGCAGTAATTTTACAAACTAAATAATAGTGTGAATATTGTATTAAATATTTAGGATCCCAAATTTACGGTGTTTGTAAAGTTAAACCTACAAAATTAACACCGCCGGTTGTTTATGATTTGCCAGTCTTAAACATCGTGTTTGAATCCTCCGAGTCCGTTTAAGGTAATATTACATTTTGGAGTAAAATGAACCTGAAATTTACTAAATTGTAAAACTCTTTCAATTCTTATACAGGTGGCACGATGCTCCCTAAAGGGACAGTAGTTCAAGTGTCGAACTACTTTTTGCATCGGGATCCCAAAGTATTCCCGAAGCCTGAAGAGTTTCGCCCAGACAGGTTTCTTCCCGAGAATTCGAAGGGAAGGCATCCTTTCGCCTACGTCCCTTTCTCGGCAGGTTCTCGAAACTGCATCGGTAAGGCCGTTACTCTGTTCCGCATCATGAGCAAACAGTTCTTAACATAATTTTGTTGTTTTATTCACAGGTCAGAAGTTTGCAATGTCTGAAGAGAAAATAGTCATCGCCAATATCCTGCGGCGATTCAAGCTCCAGTCTCTTGACCAGAGAGATCAAGTCGGTTTAATAGCCGACATGGTTCTTAGGCCTAAAGGTGGCATCCGAATTAAGTTCATCCCCAGGACGTCTTCGAAGGGTGCTTGATTCAACGCCGCAAATGGCAACAACAACCAAGTATGACCGTGGTTGTGAGGCTCTTTAGCTGTATCATTTGTCGATGCTACGTGAACTATTTGGTAGATTTTGCAAATTTATAGAATTTGAAAGAAGTAGATATTTCAAACTGTTCTGACTTGTAGCTTGGCAAAACTTTCTATGGGAGGTAGGTAAACTTCGCGCGACTAGCAGTATTCTTATGCAGTCACGAAGTAAAATCCAAATGAAGCCTGATTTGAGATTGAGATAAGGAGTGTCAGCGTTGACTTCGGGCTGCATTAAAGGAGGTGCGGATTGAAAATATACATTTGTTTTGTTTGAATATAGGTTTTATTGTGTTTTGTTAGCTTTGAACTTGCGCCTTTTACGTATAAAATATCAGGCCCTAATATAATTGCGAAATCACTCAAATGCGCATTCGAAATGCGTGCGCCTCATTGAGAATGCTTCCTACGACTAGAGCACCCAGGGTTTGTTTATAAAATATAATATACTTCCTGTTTGCAACATGTACAAGCATAGACTCGTGATCAGTTTTAAGTTAGAAAATAAAAGAAAAACGGGGATAGCCCAGTAAACCCTGCGGAGCTAAAAGAACATGTTACTTCCTACCTAACTCGTTCGGTGGAACATTGGACTGTGCCACTGCCATAATTGTTCTATGCGATCACCCAAGTTCACATCCTACTGTATTCAACGCCTTGATAAAAAGCAACATTGATATAATTTATATTTGATTGCAGCGCTTACGAAATAAACTAAAGTGGGAAGAAAACAAATGGATCGATTGATGATACCAGTTTAATTTTGCATTTTACTTTATATTGCTTTTCTCGTTTTTTTTTTTTTTTTTACGTTGTTGCTTTGCTTCGACGTCTATATACGCAACTGCAATGGAGCAGGGGGTTCCGTTAGGCGGTTTATACAGCTTTTTCCCCTTGTTTCCTCCATTTATGTAAGGCAATGGGAAATAAAGTTACTTATTAATATTCCATTCTATTATTATTATAAGTACTCCCAGCAACTCAGAAAGCCGTACGTTTGATTCAGTTTCGAAAAAAGTTCGCGGCATCCCTAGTCATAACTAATACGAGGCTAGGTTTAGAAAAAAGATCAAGCAATTATGAACTGAAATTTTCATCCAGCTATGTTAAAATTAATATATATATATATATATATATATATATATATATATATATATATATATATATATATATATATAATGCAAGTCTTTTTTTTTTAGTTATACAGTGTTGATACAGCGCTCTATCTGATAATTTACGTTCAAGTCAGCGCTTCATCAGCGCTGTTTGTAGCCTTGATTCAGCACTGTGATGCATCTGTCAACGAGCACATGTATTCACATTTGTATCGCTGTAACTATATAAGACTCTTTTCATGGCAAACACCACCAGGCGGTGCTCCAGTTTTTGACGTCCCAGAGCCTCTTCCCGTTCATAAAAAAAAAAAAGAAGATTAGCAGCTCGCTTGAAATGTTTATGAAACTTTTAACCACCAATTTTCCAGGTGAATTCCAAAAGAACAAAGAAGCGCGAGATCCGTTTAAATTTTTTGAATATTCTTGTAAACCAACTTGCCTCCTCCAAGGCGTTAAATTGTACAGCCGAAGGCCCTCGTTAAAACTCAAACTTTGTTGTCACTGTGTAGCATTTATGACTTCCAGCACTGCATGGTCACAGAAGCAAGCTCGGCAAACTTGCAAAAACCGAGCGACCGGAAGTCGCTTGGGACGCAAGCGGCAGTTCAAGTTTGTAAACAGCCAAAGGGTCTTGGGTCGCAAACATGTGATTCTCCGCTAGCATTACGAAAACGGCCTCGAGCGCGCGAAGATCACTTCAAGTTCGACCGCGGCCAACGCTACGATTCAAGCAGTGCCAAAAATGCACCGTCATGGTGCCGCTCGTCGTCTTTGAGCATTTGCAGTCACCGACTACACCAGTCGTGCACAGATAAAAAGCTTGGAATGAGGACACATTCACTGGGCCTGATCGGTCTAATCGGCCGTAGAAAACCCACATAGACACTAAAAGAAAAGGGGAATATTCTTACGCCCCCTTGTCATATATAGCACACCCCAAACTTTCAGTTCGACGTACGGCTGCGCACCGACGTAGGACCGATGGTACCAACATCCACTAGCGGCTTGCTAGCCGAGTTGTACAAATGTTGAAAAAAGCTAATGTACAACGTGTGACTACTGCAAATAAAAAAAAAAGTAACCGTTTCTTTTTTTTTTTTCTGGGGGGGGGGGGGGGGGGGTTATTGTAGAACCTTGGTGTGTTTTTTTCTTTCCGTAGTTTTTGATACGTACTTTAATATGTTATATCGCACCGTCATCGAGCCTCTCGTAAAAGTTGAAGCCGTCAGTTGAATTCAGTGCATGGTATACGTCGAACAGAATTTTTGGGGCATATTATGTGGCAAAAGGGCGTATAATGGCTACATTTTTTTTTTTTTTTAGAAACTGTAGACGATGAGCGTCGAGATGATACACTTTTGATGCTGCTCGAGCGTCGGTTGCGGTCGGGACTTGAAAAGAAATGTAGTCGTATAGCAATGTAATCGACGGGCCATTCTATAGAAGTAGCTTCTATAGAATGGCCCGTCATCTTTGGCTTCGTATATCGTCATCTTTGGTAGAGAAATAAATATTAAGATAAAAAAAACGAGTGTATGATTAGCAAATAAAATATCGAGAAAACGTGTATCAGAGAAGCCCGGCCTTTTAAGACAGACTGGGTATCGTTCCCCTTGGATAACGCAAAGATGGGACACCTTCCGAAGAGAGGGAAAACGAGGCCCGTTGTGTCAAAGCAGAGCGCGAACGCCTGCACTGTCACTCCATCGCGTTTTAGGGCGAAAGGCTGCGGATTTCTTTTTATTAGAGTGTTTTTGTTGTTTTTTTTTTTCAAATTTTTCTTGAGTAAGAAGTTGGAGATCCTCCGATCGCAATGTCATAGACGCATATAATGAGGAAATAATTGAAAGACGTTTACAAACCCCTGAAGTTGGAAATTAGAGCGCAGCTCTTGAGGAGGAGGGGGAAGGGTGCGGAGGGGAGGGTATGCCCCTCCGTACCCTCCCCTCCTTCTTCTTATTCTGCTTAACTGAGCGAGGAAAATTTCCCCGCTAAAGTTAGCGGGAAATTTTTTTCCGCTAAACATAGCGAGAAACATTTCCCCGCCAAATTTACCGGGAAAATTTTTCTGCTAAATTTAGAGAGTGCAGGAGAACGCTTTTTGTGCGCATTTGTTTTTACTCCTTTGTTGTGTCGCGCCGAAGCGCCAAAGAACAGACGCTCCCACGCAGAGCAGCAGCACACAAAGAACAAATTTAATATGGCGAAGACACATTTTACAGAGCAAAGACCAGCGCACCCTGGTGGTGAGAATAGGAACCTGTGACATTGCTTTATACATACACAACACTCCTCCACACTTACATAAAGGAACACTAGTACACCAGTCTATTTGGAGGGCGTCGAGCTCTGCTCGACCGTCGAACTTCCTGAGCAGCTAGGCCACTGCCAGCATTCAGTGGCATAGGCACCTCACATTCGCCCGGTTCATCAACACTCTCACTGTCACTCGATCCACTCTCTGAAGAAGCTGATCGGGACGAGCCCTCACTTCGAAAGCGCAAGTGATCAGCATGCACATAACGGATCTGGCTAGCCACCCGCACCAGGTATGTAACCGGACTGATTACTTTCTTTAAAATGCCTTTGGTCCAGTTTACTCTCTCCCCCCTCACATTTCTGACCCAAACTCTGTCGCCCACTTGAAAGAGTTTCGTTGGACCTCTGCGCTTGTCAGCCAGCTCCTTTTTCTTGTTTTGCTTCTCTCGTCGTGGAAGGGACGTTGCACCTGGCTTGAGCTGCGACAGTCGGGTCCGCGGAAGCCGTCCCAGGAAGAGCTCTGCAGGTGCCTTTCCAGTACTTGTGTGTGGTGTCGTCCGGTAGGCAAGTAGGAAACACGACAACTTCTCATGGATATTCCTTCTCTTCCCTTGGAGGTCGTCTTCAAGTACCTGCTTGAGCTGCGCTCGCTTGACTGTCTGCACAGCCCTCTCCGCGGCGCCATTCGAAGCCGGGTGGTAGGGTGGCGTCATGGTGTGCACCACTCCTTGATCCTTCAAGAAGTTCTTGAACTCCTCACTTCGAAACTGGGGGCCTCCATCAGTCACCACTTCTTCGGGTAGTCCAAACTGTGCGAAGACAGCCATAAGTTTCTCGACTGTCTGGGGTGCGGTTGTGGAAGACATGGGCAGTACCTCAACCCATTTAGAAAAACTGTCAACCAAAACAAACAGGTTGGTTCCCGACTTGGTTGCAAAGTCCAAATGAACACGTTCAAAGACCCGCGAGGTCATCTTCCATGGCTGGAGTGGTACTGGAAGAACGTCGTTTTGGACCGCTTGGCAGATCTCGCATGACTGCACCTTGTTCTCGATCATGGCATCGATTCCGGGCCACCACACATGCCCTCTCGCAAGTTGTTTCATACGCACCATTCCTGGATGTTCTTCATGCAGGCTCTTGAGGACCGCAGCCTGTAGTGCCTGTGGAATCACGACTCTAATCCCCCAGAGTAGGCAATCTTGGTCCGTTGACAGCGTCTCCCGCCTGTGCCAGAAGGGTTGCAACCCTGGATCTTGCACGGATGTTGGCCAACCTCTCTTGGTGTGTTCAAGGACACGTTGCAGCAAGGGGTCGCTGAGGGTCTCTTTCCCCACATCAGAACTTGAAAGAAGCGGTTGCTCTGTGGGTGAAAAATATTTCAACATACTTTCCTCTCCTACAGTTGTTTTCAGAGGAAGTCTCGATAGGGCATCAGCATCCCCGAGCTCCCCGCCCTTGCGGTACAGGATCTTGAAGTTCTACTCTGCAAGTAACAAGCGCCACCTCTGGATCCTCGCAGCAGCTATGGCTGTGGTAGAATACTTAGGTCCCAGGATCGACGTTAGCGGGTAGTGGTCAGTTACGAGGGTGAACGAGCGCCCAAAGAGATACCGGTGGAATTTCTTGACCGCAAATATGAGTGCCAAGGCCTCTCTTTCCACTTGTGCGTAGTTCTTTTCAGCCACAGTAAGCGTCCTAGACGCAAACTCCACAGGTCTGTGGTCCCCGTTTCCCATGTCTTGTGTTAAGACTGCTCCGAGGCCGTAGCTGGATGCGTCGGCCGTCACTCGAAGTGGTAGACTAGGGTCGTAGAGGACAATTACCCCAGCACAGCACAACTGATCTTTGCTTCTGTCTACAGCCTGTTGGCATTCTTCTGACCAATGCCACTTCTTGTCTTTCTTTAAGAGTTCATACAAAGGTCCCAGTGTGGCAGCTAAGTCTGGGAGGAAACGAGCATAAAAAGCTAGCAGCCCCACAAATGCCTTAACCTCCGTCACGTTACTCGGTGCGGGTGCCTTTTTGATAGCGTCTACCTTCTCAGGGCATGGCTTTAAACCCTGGTCACTCAACAAGTATCCCAAGTAACGCACTTCGCGTACAAAAAATTGACACTTGTCCTGATTCACACAAAGGCCATGTTCCTGAAAGCGTTTCAACACTTCCAAGACTCTCTGGTTGCAGTCATTTTGGTCTACGCCACCCACCAGTACATTATCAAGATAGCACGCTACCTTGGTTAGGCCCAACAAAATCTTATCCATTACACTCTGGAAAATTGCTGGTGCGCTAGAGACTCCGTAAGGCATACGTAAAAACTCAAACAATCCTAGGTGAGTGGTCACTGCGAGCAGTTTCCGCGACGCTTCGTCAAGGGATAACTGCAAGTATGCAGTCTTTAGATCCAAAATAGCAAAGATGCCACACCCCCGAAAGTTGTTGAACACCTCATCTACCCTCGGTAATGGGTAGTGCTCCACCGTCACCTGTGGGTTTACGGACACACTGTAGTCACCACAGATGCGAACTTTACCCCCTGGCTTGGGAACCACAACAAGGGGTGTTGCCCATTCACTACTTTTTACAGGCCTCAAAATGCCCTGCGCCACCATTTTCTCAAGCTCACTCTCTACTTGCTCTCTAAATGCGTATGGCACCACTCTGTGTTTACAAAACACCGGTTGAGAGTTTTCTTTCAGTACAATCCTTGCCTGAAAACCCTTTATCGGCCCCACTGGACCTTCAAAGACGCTAGGGAACGACCTTTTCAGTGAGTCTGTCATCGTCTCGTTCTCAATACGACCTACGCCCGACCAGTTAATTTCTAACTGCTCGATCCAGTCTCTGCCTAGAAGAGCTGGTAGCTGGGCATTCGCGGACTTTACCACAATCAAAGGTAACTTTTCGCTAGGTAGCTCCCCGTTTTTTACATTAACGCTCGCTACACCCTTGATTGGCACTAGAGCCCCGGTGTACGTTCGGAGACGCATGTCACTCGCCTCAAGGGGCACGTGAGAAAAAAAATTCACATACATTCTTTCTGGCATCAAAGTAACTGCTGAACCAGTGTCGATTTCCATCGTCACCGGTTTTCCTTCGATTTCCAAAACCTTCTGGAATGCCGCAGACGCGTCATTCTTCCACATACAGGTTACGCTCCAAGGTCCGCGCTTGGTGTTCGAAGTAGGCTTAGGCTTGGCCCTACACACCGCCTTAGTGTGCCCCTGCTTCCCGCATTTGAAACACTTTGCTTTCGAAAACGGACACTTCTCGGAAGCATGCACGGTACTAGCGCATCTAAAACAAGGGCCTACCGTACGCTGATACTGGACCTGTGGCGATGCAGTGGCGGAAGGTGGACACCCGGAGTGTCCTCCACCATCACCTTGAACGCGGTGCACGTCCATTGAGTCCGGAACGCCGGGCTGCCGTATCTCGTCCGTTTTGCGCAGAGAAAGTTCTTTGGCCAGGCCCACCTTTAGAACTTCGTCGAAGTAATCGTCATCGAGCTCGATGAGTGCCCTCTGTACCTCAGGGTCGCGACACCCCGCCACGAGCCGGTCCCGAAGAGCCTGGTCGAGGTAGTCCTTGAAAGCGCATGTCTGGGCGATCTTCTTGATAGCCAAGGAGAAGTCCGCTAGGCTCTCGCCGACCTCTTGATTTCTCCAATGGAACTTCGTGCGCTCTGCAATCACTAAGCGCTTGGGCGCGTAGTGGCGTTTCAGCACCTCGGAAAGTACGTCGTACGATTTCGATACCGGCGAGTCTGGGACGAGCAAGGTTTTCAGAACCTGGTACGACGCTTTCCCGATGTAGTTCAGCAGCGTCACGGCCTTGTCTTCCGTCTTGACAGCGTTCACTCGAAGGAAAATCTCGAAGCGTTCGAGATATTCGTCGACGTCGTCCTCCTCCGGCTTGAACTCCGTGAACTTCGGCATTGTGCTGTTTGCCACGTTGTTACTCGGTTCGTTCGATCTTCCATCCGAGCCTCGTCGCCATTGTTGTGTCGCGCCGAAGCGCCAAAGAACAGACGCTCCCACGCAGAGCAGCAGCACACAAAGAACAAATTTAATATGGCGAAGACACATTTTACAGAGCAAAGACCAGCGCACCCTGGTGGTAAGAATAGGAACCTGTGATTTTGCTTTATACATACACAATTTACCGGGAAAATTTTTCTGCTAAATTTAGAGAGTGCAAACCCCTGTAGTTTGAAATTAGAGCGCAGCTCTTGAGGAGGAGGAAGAAGGGTGCGGAGGGGAGGGTATGCCCCTCCGTACCCTCCCCTCCTTCTTCTTATTCTGCTTAACTGAGCGAGGAAAATTTCCCCGCTAAAGTTAGCGGGAAATTTTTTTCCGCTAAACATAGCGAGAAACATTTCCCCGCCAAATTTACCGGGAAAATTTTTCTGCTAAATTTAGAGAGTGCAGGAGAACGCTTTTTGTGCGCATTTGTTTTTACTCCTTAAAACTGTTTCACCCTTTTCAACTTCTTCGACGTCTGCCGCCACCTGCACAGACATCAAACGCGGGTCCACCAAGTTTAGAGGAGACATTTTCCCACTAAATTTAGCGAGTTTCCCTGCAAACTTTAGCAGGGAAATTGACGTCACGTAACCTTAACACCAATTCAGTTTTCGAGCTAAATTTATCGGGGAAAATGACTTCACATGACTTCGTGTCACGTTACTTACGAACAAATTCAGTTTCTCAGCTATATTTAGCGAAAAATTTCACGTCACGTGCCCTCAAAACCAACACAATTTCCCGTTAAATTTAGCGGGACGGCTATGACGACGGCGACGCCGCGAAACGCGGAAACGGGCAGCTAGGAGCTGTGTTCTAAAACTGGTGCAGACGTATGAAGACACAGTTGCGAGTCATTGTTTTATTTTCCATGCAGTTCGGAAGCTACGCCTTGTCGCCATAAAAAAACAAACAAACAAACATATATAGCTTTGTTCGCTTATCTAAACAACCATGAAAGGAAAAAAAAGAAAATAATAAAGAGGTAACACTAGCGTGCACTTGTGTATTGTCTTTGTGATGACACAAGCTCACGAACAGTTTGGCCACAGAGCAAGAGCAAGCTCCGAGCGATAATTCTTATTTGTGGGGTCGAAATAACAGGTTGGGATAGGGAGGGGCAAAACAAAATATGGAACAGACAACGCGCACTCCATGTTTGCATCGACACTTAACGTGGAGTTCCGTCTTCGTCTTGAGCTTGAGTATTTCAAGTTGCCTCAATCCAAATTTGCTGCCTCTTCAGAAAGGTGGAAAAATCTGAAATGCATTTGAATTCACTCTGATTTCAAATTCATTGAAGTAATACAACTTGTTATTCTCTCCAGTACATAACCAAAACGAAAAAAATACTTGAAGTACAATAGTTAACTATATGTGCATGTCTTCAATCTGTGCGTGCTGTTGTTGCTGTTTTTTAGAAGACAGCTTGAGAGCGGGACGCTCGCTATTTAGACTATTCAAGAAAAGAGCAAGATATAACAAGGTATGTACATAGTCGTCTAAGTTGCTGCCTTTTGCCGGATTCACCAGGTGGTTACGTAGTGAGTGTTCCCTGGAAGTTCCCCACCTCGTTGAATAGGCTGCTGTGGCCCGATGGAAGCTTGAGGAACAAATCATCCGTGACCAGCCTCCAGATGACGTTGGGCTGAAATTGAATAAAACAATTAATAAAAGCAAGCACCGCAGTAATGGGAACTGGGAATTCAACCTTCGTATAAAGAGCGATTTTAGACGGCCCTTCGCGGCGGGCCTATCGACCCTCTTCCTGTTTACAAACATGAACTGTCGCTTGCGTCCCAAGCGACTTCAGGTCGCACTGTTTTTGCAAGCCTGTCGCGCTTGCTTATGTCCCCAGGGCTAGAAAGCATAAATGCTACACGGACAACAAAGTTGAAGATTTAATGAGGGCCTTCGTCTGTACAATATTAGTTCCCTGCGAGGACAAGTTGGTTTACAAGAATATTTGAAACATTTAAACGCATCTCACGCTTCTTCCTGCTTTTGGCCTTCACCTGGAGAATAGAGCCTTTCCAAAAGTCCGTCTGCCCCCTCCCCCCCCCCCCCCCCCGCCCCCCCTTCTGCAGACTCAAACCCGACCCTCTAATGGCGGCACCCGACAGCTTCTCCACATCAGAAAAAGCGAACATCTCCGAAAGCATAGTGCAGGAATCGGAAAAGACGTTGGTCTTTTCACGTCACCTTCGATTCTCGAAGTCGAGGATGCTTGATTTAGGAAAGCATGATATCCCATCACCGCCATTAGAGCGGCAGTATTGGAGCTTTTGAAGCTGCCACAATGTGACTCTGATTTTTGGAAAGCATAAAAGTCTCATCTTTATTTTAATCAGCGGTGTTCGAGAATTCTTTATTCATTCATATTATCAACCGGAAGTTCTCAGGAACGTCAAAGACTAGAGCACGGCCTGGTGGCGCTTTTCATGAAAATGGTTTATAGACTTGTTTTGATGATGGAACGTTCTCGCAAGTTTTGTGCACCGTCGGACTGCTCGCGTATATGTGCCAAGCATGCAACAGCTTCTCTCCCAGAAGGTGACGTGCATTGACGTTTATTCAAACAGCGCCTTATTTAGGATAGTAAAGAAAGAGTCGCCAAAGCCACGTCCCACCCACGGTGGGAGGGGGATCTCACCTAAGCACATGTGAGCCTCCGCGACTAGGTGGGATGAGATTTCGCGCTTGCACAGTACTCCCCTTAAAAAAAGTTGAGTCAAAAGTGGGCGAAAACTGCCTTGAGGATGATGATGATTACAAGTTTGTTGGTGCAACAGGAGCGAAGGCATAGTGAGACTGCCGTGGTGACAAAGACGAAATGTGAAGACAGAAAATGATGCCTTGGACGAACTTCAGTCGAATGCACTGCATGATTCTGCAGCTCCGAGATTTGCTTTAATCGCACGCACGCAAACAGTGCGAGCACAGGTTGCTCGCATTGCTGCAGCCTGAAAACATTCCACAATGTTTTCCGATGTAAGCGTTTTCCGCATAACGTCACTTGACTGTGACTTCATGGCCAAGTGATTTTTGAAGAAATATTGCACGCGTGGCGAGGATGGGAATTTCACAAACATTATTTATATCGGTATTTCGTCTTCAAAATCCGTTTTTCTTTTTGCAATAATTACTCGAAAATTTTGCGAACTTATAAATGGTAAGTTACAAACGAAAAAAAAAAGTATGCCAAAATTACTGATCTATGCTGACTCTCGATGAAATGCGTTAAGGCCCGTTCACACAGTTGCGCCCTCTTGGAACATGGTGCCTTAGAAGCCCTTAATATCTCTTACAAAAAGAGGACACACTGGCGCCATTTATATTGTAGCAGTGTAAACTTGGCGATCCGGCATATTTTCTATTTCTCTCGCATATTATCCTTTCTTTCTTGGCTCGAAACAACTTCTTAAAGTTATAAACGAGCCTTTCTAATACTTGTGTCAGACGGGCACCTAAAAGGACCTTTACGCCAAAGGCCTTTAGGATTTTCAAATGATCTTTAAGTTCTGCTATGGTGCCTGGATCGCGTCTTCGACTGGTGTGTTTAGCCTCCTATCCCGCCCATACATCAAAAGTGGTCCCAATGTGGCAACAAATGACGCGAGTGTCATGCTGTTGCCTGTCGCGATCCTGGCGGTTGGCCGTAGAAATGCTGGCGAAAAGCACGAGCGAACGCGAGTGTCGCTGTCGTCAGCTCGCCCCTTTAGGCGTCCCAACTTCCGGCTGTTCTAGCTTCCGTGAACTGTCACAGTGCAAAGCGACCTGCAGCAGAACAGGCGTCTGCCACATATACCATAACTGTTGGGACGCTGCCAGGGTCGCGACCAGCGACAGCATGACACTTTTATGACGTCATCAGGCGGAAATCGAGGGTCCACTTTTTTGGCCGCGGTAAACACACCAGTCGGAGACGCGTTCCAGGCACCATAGTTCTGCCGTGCCAGACAGCGCAAGTAAATGTGATTTAGATGATGTTTACAGCGATTGAAGTCTCGTAGCTTGGTTCAAACGCATAAATCATGTTCACGCCAGAAAAGTAATATTCTTGTGATATAAATTATTTTTTAAGTTTTTCTGAGGGAAACAATATATTAAAAAAAAAAAAGACAGAATGACGAGTTTAGTCTAGTGATTACAACAAAGTCCACCTCAAGCCCAAGCAAAGTGTTTTTTTTTTTTTTTTCATTTAGCGGCAATTCTGGGTCATTTGGGCGTCTCCCGCTTCAGGGCTTCAGTCCTAGCGTTGCTCCGTGCTCCGGTCCCGGGAACTGGGCCCGCGGCCTCGTGTAAGCGACCGGCTCGTAGTCGAGCCACATCACCTCCCAGGGCACGTACTTGTCGGGCACCGGGAACCGCTGGATCTTGGTGCCCGGGTAGGGCGACTGGCGCGAGATGTAGTGCAGCGTCGTCTGCTGCTGCTGCATCGAGCTCAGCGACGTCGGGTCTGCACGCACCCAGACGCTCGACATGTATTCTCGGCAGCTGCGTCTGTATACGTGGCTGAGAGCTTAGTTAGGGGCGAAGCTAAACGCGTAACGTTACATCTATGTCTCTGCATCCACTGAAACAAACATATCATCGCACAGAAGTAGAACTTTATCTCGAAACGAGTCACTGATGATAATATACTTGAGTTCACGTTCAATACGACATTCAATGATATTTGTAAAACGTCGAGCAAGATGCAATTTCGGAGAACGCGCGAAAAGATGGAGAAAACAGAGCGCCTGCTTCCAGTGTAACAGGGCATTCTTTCTCGCAGTGAAGTTCCGAAAATAATTTTCGAGCAGTTTGCTCGGTCATTGTCACGAACCGCTTTTGCATCTCATTACCTTCGCGTCTTGTTCAGGAGTATATGGCGCGGCCTTGCGGACACCTTAAAAATATGTATTTTTTTATCTACAGTTATTTTAGAGAACATTTTTACATCGTGAGAATTGCTTAGCGCGTACGTTTTCCTTTTTTTTTTCTTTGTTTCTTTTCGCGTGTATGCGAGCAGTGTATACCGTTTTTCGAAGACGAGACCTGCTTCAGTGCCTCGAGGTAGATGAGCGACAGGGAGAGCTTCCTCTGCACCTCCTGCACCTGTCCGCGCAGCTGGTCCAACACGGTTCTCTGGTAGTCTACGTCCTCCAGAATCAGCAGCATCCTGGCAGAAAGACGACCACTTAGGCCTTGGGCCCGGCTCCAAGTGTCTGTCACGCGTATACCTCGGCAAAACTCACTCATGAGTGAACTGTTTCACCTCACTCACCCTCGCCGAACGGGCTTTAGTTGAGGGTGAGTTAGTTCGTAAGCCTCGAAAACTCATAAGTTTGAGGTTGAGTGAGGGGCATGAGTTCGGTGGGGTGCGTGAGTTCGTGAGTTCGGCGAGTTCATGAGGTCGGTGAGGGGTGTGAGTTTATGAGCTCGGTGAGTTCATGAGTTTGGCGAGGTATGGTCAAGATAGTACGCAGTAGAGAGAGAAAATACCTGCTGCGTGGTAGCGATAACAAGTGCAACAGGATAATAGAATAACAGCCCCAACGTCCCCGAGTAAGATTTTTGTTGAGCCCAGTCGAACGGTATGTATGCGATACATATTTCTGTACACAAAAAACGCACACACACACAATCGTGTTTTTTGTGCTTTTTTTTTTCTAGACAAAAGAAACGCCTGCGGAGCTTACATATAATTGTTTGGCTGAAAGTTTTGATTCCAGTCGAGACATCACGCCGAATGCTTGGACTCGTGTGACATCGCCGGGCAAACAAACGTATCTGTGAACCGCTGCGGAGTCACTGGAACTTAGGCGTGCTCTAGATGAGTAAAGTACACAACGCGAAGACCCTCGTTGCAACGTAATTGCAAAGAAAAAAAAAAGAGAAAAACGGAATCATCGACGGCGCAATGAAAGACGAGGTAAAGAGAGCTTAGCTTTCATGGATGAAACACTGCAGTGACTGTACGATGATAGTTGTTGAGTATAAAACGAGCGCCGCCATTTTCAGGTGACTCCAGGTTAGCTGCGAGTGTGACCTAACCAGGATTCCAGATTGCAGCAGCATATTCTAATTTCGAGCGAACTAGAAATTTGAACAATAGAAGGAGACAGGAAAATTTCGTCCTAGGTAGCCTGGCATGGAATCGGCCTTAGCAAGAATGTTATGAACGTGCGTTTGCAAGGATATGCCGGAAGTAAGGTACACACTGAGATATTTATAGGAAGTCGTAGAAAGCAAAGGAATGTCACTAAGTATAGTAAGTGGAACTTGAGATGTGTTACGACGTGAAACTCTCATTGTTTGGCATTTGTAAGTGTTAAGGGTCGTGTGCCATTCCTGACACCAAGCAGATGTAGCATTCAAGTCATTCTGAAGAAGCAGGGTGTCTGAAATATTAATAATGTAAAAAAAACGCAATCATCCGAAAAAAAATTACGGCTCGATAAAACACACAGGGGAAAGTCGTTCATATAAACGAGGAAGAGTAGAGGTCTCAAGACGGAACGTTGAGTGGCACCAGACGTAACAGGACTCGTGTGGAACAGGCACGTAGCCAGGGTTAAGGCCAATTGGTTAGAGAAGAGATGGGATTAGGCGCACATTCTCAGAAGCTCGAGCACAAGGTCGAGTACAATGCCGAGCTCATCCTCAGAGGCTACCGTGATTCGAGTTGGTTTTGTGACAAGCTACAATAAAGAAAAGTAAAAAGAAATATTTAATAACTCTGAACTAATAAATATACTATTAGGACATGAAATGTTTGTGTTCGCAAAACTAAAATTCTGACATTTCGACCACCTGTTGCCAGTGGCGTACCAACTTGTTTTTGAGTGGGGGGGCAAACCCGACCCTCTTCCCCCCCCCCTCCCCCCCCTTAATCGAAAATTCGGCGCAACTTTTGTCGAAGTTTTCTAAAGATGTGGCAATGATTCGGCAAAATTACAACGTTACCAGACTTAACATTGATATTTTGTTTTTTCTCACGAAAATAATTTTGCTTCTTCTTCTTAAGATAAATACAACTTGTAGTGATTATTGAAACAGTTATGATTAAATAAGGTGATATTCTACAAGATAATTGTATCGATGTCGCTTTTGTGTGTTTACTGGCAATTTTAGTGTTTGCTTGCAGAAAGTGGCGTGACAACGAGGTTGGGTAGTAGCCGGAGCAGTCACGAATCACACTACGAGAGTTTTGATTTTGAGGCTTCATCAGCGCACGCCTGCAAGTGTGTTTACATTGTTAAAATAAAGACAATCACTGTGTTCTTACTTTCTCTGGGAGTCACCGTTTCGTGCGCGAAAACGGATGCAACGGTTGTTTAGCCTTCACCAGAAGAGATAACAATACTGTAAATATGCATGTTTTTCGATTTGAGTCACTTGACGTCAGCTTTGCATGAAAGTGCGCGTTCCATATTCGCAACGTGCCGTTTTTAACCTTTAAAATTCCGGTTTCTGGTGTTAGGACACACACGGACGTTTAGGAAGATGGGGAGAGTTAGGAATGTCGGATGTGCAACGTCGAGCATGACAGTTCTGTGTTTAACGAATACTTTTCATCAGTGTTTACTAACGAGTGCTTGGACTTCGTCCCCACTCTCCCTGAAGAGCTTTACGAGCGCATGCATCCTATTAACGTTAACTCCGCTGGTATTAAAACATTGATTGATAAACTAAAACTTACTTCGTCCGCTGGAACCGATAACATCAACCCTAAAATTTAAAAGAAACACCCGTGTTATTTCTAGTGAGTATTTGAAACTCATCTTCATTCAGTCCTCATCTCAAAGCTGCCTTCCATCTGACCAAAAGGTGGGAAGGGTAATTCCCAGTCTTTAAACAGTGCAGCCGCTCTTCCGCATCTAATTATCGCCCTAATTCATTGACTTCAATTTCTTGCAAACTACTTGAGCATATCCTCTACTCCAATATCATGAGGCACCTATCATCCCATTTCTTTTCTTTAAACAGCAGCACGGTTTTCGAAAGGTACTTTCCTGCGAAACGCAACTCTGCGACTTCATCCATGACTTGCACACTAACCTTGAATGTCACGTCCAAACTGACGCAGTTTTTTTTTTTTTTTTTTTTTTTTTTTTTTTTTCCAGAGCGTTTGGCCGTGTCCTCCATCAACGCCTTCTTTCTAAGGTATCATCTTTTTGCCTCGACCAATAACCGTTTGCATGGATTCGTGACTTTCTTTTTTCCCGTGTACAGGTCACGTCCATGATGATCATGAATCTTCCTTAATAAATGTATCCCCTGGTGTTCCCCTGGGGTTCGTACTTGGGCCCTTACTCTTTTTAATATTTATTAATGACATTCCCATTGGGATTTCTTCAAAAAAACGCTTTTTCGCCGACGACTGCGTCATCCATAACAAAGTAACTTGTGTGCAAAATAATAACCAGCCTCAGGAAGATCTAGATAAAATTAACAATTGGTGCAAAGAGTGGATTATGTCACCAAACAAGTATAAACGCAAACTAATCCACTTCACCAAGAAAAAAACCACTCTGTCATTTAATTACTTCTTGGACTCCGATCTGATTGAGACCGCTACTGTGTATAAATACCTTGGTGTAAGACTAACATCTGACCTTCCCTGGAATAACCACATTGAAGTCATTACCGCCGATTCATCTGGAACTCTTGGACTAAGCAGACGTAACTTAAAAAATCGCTCCACCCTTTGTCCCTAAGCTAGCCTTTAACACGTACGTCAGACCAAAAATAGAATATGCTTCAACCATCTGGAATACCCATCGACTGTACCTCATCAATACGCTGTAGAGGCAGTTCAGAACAGAGCTGCTCGCTTCATTTCATCCACTTATGACTTTTCTTTCAGTGTCTCGGCGCTAAAAACTGAACTAACCATGTCCTCTTTGCAGCTTCGCAGGAAAGTCTCTCAGCTGTGCCTTATTCACAAAATCTACTACCACATTCCCGACCTCAAAACCACTTTGTTATTACCCCTCGACCGAACATCTTCTCGCCTCAACAACGTCTGCACCATCAAACACACTTCTGGCTCTACGAACGCTTTCAATTGGTCATTCCTTTCTCAAGCCATCAGCCACTGGAACAGTCCCCCATCCTCCATTGTCACCATCTTGGACCCTGCTGATTTCTCCTCTGCAGTAAAACTACACCTTTCTTGGCCCATGTGATGGTGTGCGGGGCTAGGCAGATCACTGAAAACACTTACGCAGAGCGCTTGCCAGGCCAGACTTGTACGTAGTTCAACTACTTTACTCAAGTTACTGTAGTTTAACTACTTTTCTGGGTAGTTTAGTAACTTTTAATTACATTTCTATTCTAGTAATCAGTAGTTTACTTTAACTACTTTTCCGAGTGACTTCCACTCAAATTACAAATTACTTTCTAATTTTAGTGGTTGTTTTGCCTATCAACAGAGAACAGAGGTCGGAAGGTCAGCTGATATTTGCAGAGGGGGAAGCATGCGGAGTAGAAAAGGGGGGGATGGGAAGGAAGAAAGTGATTTAGATAGTCCAAAAAACCCCAAAATTTTAACGAGCCCCCCCACTGCAACAACACTGCTACGAGGCGCGGGGAGCGAACAGACACGACGCGGTCGAGTAACTGTGGGATTAGCTCCGAATAGTGGCGTTTCTTTGTATTCCGAAGCTCAAGGAGACTTGACGCATTTGAAGAAAGGGCTTGTCCCCGCTTCTCTCCAATGTAGGAATTCTTGCCCACTACAGGAGGTGCACACACTGCTCCTTTTACGGTGCAGGCGATAGAACCCCTAACAACGACGCTCACGCCGGATGGGCTGCTCGTGTATCACTCGAAGCGTGTTAACCCACCCCCGCGCCTGCGTTCACGCCGCTTCGCGGTGACGGTGTGCGGCTGCTAATTACAAATCTATTAACCCACCTAGCCCCCCCACCCCCCGTACACGCCGCTTTGCGGCGTCCGGTCGGCAACCCAAGCCTCGCTGCACCCCATGCACTTCCGTAAATAGAGTCGATACGATTTAGTTTAGCGATGTTTCGTCAACAACATTCGTTTTTTTTAATGTTAATGGTAAAAAAGAAATGTAAATATCGCCAAATGCCTCGACAAAACAAAATGTTCGAGAAAAAAAAATAAAAAGAAGTAAGCCGGCCCACACCATAAATAGAACCCGGGTCT